TTCACACATGAACAACATTTCTTTGTGCAGTGAGTAAATGTTTCACTCCAAGTGCCACCAGATCCAAACCAGGTCTAAACCAGGACTAAACCAGGTCTAAACCAGGACTAATCCAGGTCTAATTTAGAACTAAACCAGGTCTAAAAGTTGGACTACGTCACTGTAACAAACAACAACTGATCCAAAGAAGAAACTCAACTCTGAATGAGGCAAATCCACAAACTGAAGCAGAGGCGGAGTTGGAGTGAAGAGATCACTGATCCAGACCAAGACCAGACCAAGACCAGACCAAGACCAGTCCAAGACCAGTCCAAGACCAGTCCAAGACCAGACCAAGACCAGACCAAGACCAGTCCAAGACCAGTCCAAGACCAGACCAAGACCAGTCCAAGACCAGTCCAAGACCAGTCCAGCAGACCAGACCAAGACCAGTCCAAGACCAGTCCAAGACCAGTCCAAGACCAGACCAAGACCAGTCCAAGACCAGTCCAAGACCAGACCAAGACCAGTCCAAGACCAGTCCAAGACCAGACCAAGACCAGACCAAGACCAGACCAAGACCAGACCAAGACCAGTCCAAGACCAGTCCAAGACCAAGACCAGACCAAGACCAAGACCAAGACCAAGACCAAGACCAGTCCAAGACCAGACCAAGACCAGTCCAAGACCAGACCAAGACCAGTCCAAGGACCCAGGGTCCAGGACAAGACCAGAGACCAAGACCAAGAAAGACCAGACAAGACCAGAGACAAGACCAAAACCTCTGAGGGTCCAGAGACCAGGACAAGACCAAAACTTTTAAAGGCCGAGACCAAACATCGAGACCGAGACAAGACCGAGACAAGACTGAGACCAAATGAGCTCGAGTCTGAGACGAGACCAAGACTGTGGCTGTGTTCTCGGGTCTGGAGAACCACGACACCAGGACGAGGCTTCTTCCCACACCAAACTTTACACCAAACCTCTGACCTCTGACCTCTGACCCCTGACCCTGACCTCTGACCTCCGGGTGAGTGTTTACCAAACAAACCATAAACACATAAATCCTGTTTTTTGAGTTTTGTCCGTTTCACCACAGAAGAGAAAAGAGAAAAGTCCAGATGAACTGAACCAACAGAGCAGATCATGTGACACTGTTGTTTCCTCTTGATCAAACTGAACTTTTACACAAAAATATAAAAATACAAACAACGAAGATTAAACCAAAACCTCAAAGTATCAAACACAAACAATCTGTGTGTCGTTCGTTTTTCAAAATAAAACCGAAAATAAGGAAACGAACAAACAACAGTTTTCTTCATTATTTGTCTCCAAAACCAAAATGAAAAAACAGATAATGATTCGTTTTTTCAGTTTTCAATTTTGTTTTTAAATGAAAAATTAACGACCGTTTCCTGTTTACGTGAACCAGACTTCAGTGACTGAACCAGGACTGATCCAGACTCCAGGACCAGACCAGGACTGAGACAGAGGACCAGACCGAGACCAGAGACCAGAGACCAGGACCGAGACCAGACCGAGACCAGACCAGACCAGGACCGACCGGACCAGACCGGACCAGACCAGACCAGACCGAGACCAGACCGGGACCAGACCGGGACCAGACCGAGACCAGACCGAGACCAGACCGAGACCAGACCGGGACCAGACCGGGACCAGACCGAGACCAGACCGAGACCAGACCGAGACCAGACCAGACCCAGACCGAGACCAGACCGAGACCAGACCAGACCGGACCGACCAGACCAGACCAGGACCAGACTAAGACTAGGCCAGAGGCTCAGAGCCCTCAGCAGGGTCAGTCAAAGCAGGTCGGAGTCAAAGCTCGGAGTCTGGTCTGGTCTGGTCTGGTCCTGGTCTGGTCCTGGTCTGGTCCTGGTCCTGGTCCTGGTCCTGGTCTGGTCTGGGTCCTGGTCTGGTCCTGGTCCTGGTCCTTGGTCTGGACCTGGTCTGGTCCTGGTCTGGTCCTGGACCTGGATCAGTCCTGGTTCAGTCACTGAAGTCACGTAAACAGGAAACGGTCGTTATCTGTTTTTTCCATTTTTCATTTAAACACAAAATCAAAAAATGAAAAAAATTAATCATCTGTTTTTTCATTTTGGTTTTGGAGACAAATAATGAAGAAAATCATAGTTTTTTCATTTTCTTATTTTAGTTTTTATATTGAAAAACGAAAGAACGAATGACACACGGTTTACACTGTTGAATTGTTCTGTTTTTCCATGTGTGCCTCCCCCTGGCGTCCTGTTTGTCATGTGTTCTGTGTATTGTCATTTTTCATGTTAATAATAAATATTACTAAAAAATAAAAAAGTAAACAAGTAAGAATCGGGTCTGTGGAGAGGCGAGCCTGCTCACAGTCAGGACGTGTGTTTGTCAGTGCAGTAAACTTTGATTATTTCTGTAACAAAAAAATCACATCAGCACCTCAAACTTTTTTATCGCAACAACAACAAACAAACAAACAAATAAAAAAAAAAAAAAAAAAAAACAGACTCACCTCAAAGCTGCTTTCTTCTTTTTCTCCACAGACTTCACCAGCTCATTCTCCTCTGGCCTCTCGTCAGGAAACTCTGCACCCACAACTGGACCGGCAGCTGCAGTAGTAGTAATAGTAGTAGTAGTAGTAGTAGTAGTAGTAGTAGTAGTAGTAGTAGTAGTAGTAGTTTCCATTGGTTGTGGGAGTTGAGTTTTTAGATTCTCTTCTGCCCTGAGGAAAAAAAGATTAAACGCTGGATTTAATTCACAAAATCCGAGCTGCACTTTTTCAGAACATATTTGTATTTTTTCATTCCGTACGTTTTTCTCGCTCCTCCCTCCTCCGCTCTCTCGTCTTTCTCGTCTCTCTCGTCTTTCTCGTGTCTCTCGTGTCTTTCCTCGGCTCTCGACAAAATTTCATTCTCAGATTTGTTTCCTTCCTCGGTCAAACTCACACTGAAAAAGACCAAAAAACGACGTGTAACAGATGAAAATGTGTCGTTTTGAGTGTTTCGTGTTTCGTCTGCAGGTCGTGTTCATAGTTCCGGAAGGTAATGAAGTAAAAGTAAAAGTACAATGTAGTAAAAGCACAAATTTTAGGTATGTGTACATTTTACAGTGGATACTTTTACTTTTACTTCACTACGTTTGAGAGCAGAGGTCTGTACTTTCTACTGCACTATGTTTAGATCTGGACAGAAAAGCAAAAAGTACTTTTCTTTACGGTTTGACACTGAGAGTTTTTTTTTTTTTTTTTTTTTTTGTACATTTAATCAGAGTTTTCATCCCAATGCAAAAGCACAAAAACACAAAAATGGCAAGAAAAAATAAGAAGTCAATGGAATCACTTAAAATCAGTTGAATTCTCTTTCAAAATCACTACATTTCATCATTTAATTGTTCTAAATATCTCTGCAAAACACTCGTTGGTCCACATTTTTCTCACAGATTAAATCCTGTAAAAATATAATTGTTGGTTTTTGTTTCATCAGGTCCAAATAACAGAGAATCAATAAAGACGCGAGAGTTTGGGCCTTTTAAGGTTAAAGTCCATTTTTACACAGATACTTTTATACTTTTACTTCACTAGACTTTCTCATGTGATACTTTTACTTTTACTTGAGTAACTTTGAGTAAAACCTGTCTCACCTGTTTCACCTGTTCACCTGCCTCACCTGTCTCACTTACATCACCGTGTTGACAATGAATGTCGTTGTGACGGTGATGTCTGTGTGTGGTGATGTCGTGTGGATGGTGATGTCGTGTCGTGGTGATGTCTGCCGTGGTGATGTCGTGTCGTGGTGATGTGTGTGTCGTGTGATGTCGTGTGTGATGTCGTGTCGTGGTGATGTCATGTCGTGGTGATGTCGTGTCGTGGTGATGTCCTGGTGATGTCGTCGTGTGATGATGTCGTGTCATGTCATGTCTGTGGTGATGTGTCGATGTCGTGATGTCGTGTCGTGGTGATGTCGTGTCGTGGTGATGTCATGTCGTGGTGATGTCTGGTCGTGGTGATGTCGTGGTGATGTCGTGTGATGTCATGTCATGTGTCATGTGTGTCATGTCGTGTGTGTGTCGTGGTGATGTCATGTCGTGTCGTGGTGATGTCATGTCGTGTGGTGATGTCGTGTCGTCGTGGTGATGTCATGTCGTGTTGTCATGATGGCCTGTCGTGGTGATGTCGTGTCGTGGTGATGTCGTGTCGTGGTGATGTCATGTCGTGGTGATGTCGTGGTGATGTGTCGTGTCGTGGTGATGTCGTGATGTCGTGGTGATGTCATGTCGTGGTGATGTCGTGTCGTGGTGATGTCGTGTCGTGGTGATGTGTCGTGGTGTGATGATGTCGTGTCGTGGTGATGTCCTGTCGTGGTGATGTCGTGTCGTGTGTGATGTCGTGTCGTGGTGATGTCGTGTGATGTCGTGTCGTGGTGATGTCGTGGTGATGTCGTGGTGATGTGTCGTGGTGATGTCGTGGTGATGTCGTGTCGTGGTGATGTCGTGTCGTGGTGATGTCTGGTGATGTGTGTGGTGATGTCGTGATGTGTGTCGTGGTGATGTCGTGTCGTGGTGATGTCGTGTTGTGTGTGTGGTGATGTCGTGTGTCTGTCGTGGTGTGATGTGTCGTGGTGATGTCATGTGTCGTGGTGATCGTCTGTGTCGTGTCATGGTGATGTGTCGTGAATGTGTCGTGATGTCGTGGTGATGTCGTGTCGTGGTGATGTCGTGTCGTGGTGATGTCGTGTCGTGGTGATGTCGTGTCGTGTGGTGATGTCATGTCGTGGTGATGTCGTGTCGTGGTGATGTCGTGTCGTGGTGATGTGTCGATGTCGTGATGTGTGTCGTGTGTGTGATGTCGTGTGATGTCGTGTCGTGGTGATGTCCTGTCGTGGTGATGTCGTGTCGTGGTGATGTCCTGTCGTGGTGATGTCGTGTCGTGGTGATGTCATGTCATGTTGTGATTATTTCGTGTCGTGTGATTCTTCTGTGGACAAACCCTGGACTCGTGTCGACCTGCTGCTGTTGCTGCTGCTGCTGTTTCCGTTTCAGCCCGACGACCACGCGGACCCTCCTGAGCGCTCGGCTCTGATTGGCCGGCGGGGACTCGGACGCCGTCGTCGTCGCGTACAGGACCGTCACCGTGGAGAACTGGCACCGGTCGCCGTGGAAACCGGCGCGGCACAGGCAGCGGTTGGGGGCGCGGCACACGGCTCCGTTATGACACCGCGGGACGCACCGAGCTGAAGGACGAGACGACGGAAACACAAGAGAGAAAAAACAGACAAAAGTAAATGTGAGGAAACTTTACAGTGACGTCGTGCTGGGGGAGTCTGCGTGTATGTCTATGGAGGAATGTTCAGCAGTTACCATGGAAACATAATACACACATTAGCACACACAACTAAAAAATACTAGAAATAATCCTTGTAACAATTTAGACACACTAACTCAAGTAAAAGTACAAAAGTATTTGGGAAAAGTACTTTTGAAGTCAGAGTAACTTTAGGGACGTAACATGTGATTTATAATTTGAGGTGAAAGTGATTTAAAAAAGAAAACTTGAAATAAAACCTGAAAAACGAGACAAACTAAATCAGATCTAAAGGAGCAAGAAACACAAATGTCAAAAAACCAGGACTGAACCAGAACTGAACCAGGACTAAACAGGACTATACCGGGACTAAACCAGGACTGAACCAGGACTAAACCAGGACTGAACCAGGACTAAACAGGACTAAACGGGACTAAACCAGGACTGAACCAGGACTAAACCAGGACTGAACCAGGACTAAACCAGGACTAAACCAGGACTGAACCAGAACTGAACCAGGACTGAACCAGGACTAACCAGGACTAAACCAGGACTGAACCAGGACTAAACCAGGACTGAACCAGGACTAAACCAGGACTAAAACCAGGACTAAACCAGGACTGAACCAGGACTAAACCAGGACTAAACCGGACTAAACCAGGACTGAACCAGGACTAAACCAGGACTGAACAGGACTAAACCCGGACTAAACCAGGACTGAACAGGACTGAACCAGGACTGAACCAGGACTAAACTGGGATTAAACCAGGACTACACCAGGACTAAACCAGGACTAAAATAGAACCGAACCAGGACTGAACCAGGACTAAACCAGGACTGAACCAGAACTAAACCAGGACTAAACCAGGTCTAAACCAGGTCTAAACCAGGACTAAACCAGGACTAAACCAGATCTAAACCAGGACTAAACCGAGACTAAACCAGGACTAAACTAGGACTGAATCAGGTCTAAACCAGGACTAAACCAGGACTAAACCAGGACTAAACCAGGACTAAACCAGGTCTAAACCAGGACAGAGGGAAGAGTAATCTTACTGTTACAGGTAATATTTATTTTTCTTTCTTTTCTTTTCTTTTTTTTTTTTTAACCTGATTTAAAGACATAAGTGTGTGTGGAGTGATGTGAATTACACGTGAATTACCGCGTGAATAAATCAACCATTACAAATGAGTAACCAGAAAAACCCAACTGCACCAATGTTTACAAAAAAAAAAAAAAAAAAAAAAAAAAACTCTTCGCCTAAACTGCTCCGTGTCCCTGTGCGCACCGCGGGACCGCGGGGGACGTCATGTCTTTTTCTTAAATTTGCCCAAACGCGTCATTTCACTTCAGCTCCGCGTTTGAAGTGAGATTATTGGGCCGATTTTTCGCCTTTGTTTCGCGTTCCGTTATCGGCCGATTTCTGCTCAGGCACTTGTTTGGGCTCCCACGTGACGGAAGGACCCGTGCAGGAAACAGTGCGGGGATAAAAAAGAGGCGAAAGTTTGCACGCAAAGGTACGTTTTTCTGACTTTTTCGCTCGTCAATGCGCAGTTTGTCGAGCGCGAGGAGCGTGACGGAGGAGCTTTTCTCCGCTATCGAAAATCAAAAACGCAGAAAAGAGCGAAGGCGTTTGAGGAAATGCTGATGTTGTGAGGTAAAAGCGCAGAAGAGACGCGGGTTTACGCAGAAATGACGCAAATAAACTCCGCACACACGACGCGTCCTGTGATTTAGCGTAAAGTTTGCGCGTTAGTTCGTGCGGGAGGTGACGGCGGCGGCGCTGCGCACGACAAACACGAGAAAATACGGCAGGCTGAATGGGACGTGTGCAGAGTACTCGAGTACTTGTGACAGAAGTACTTTTACTGAAATATTATTACTGATTGATTGATTGATTTTATCGTTGTTTTCAGTCCTGGTTTAGTCCTGGTTTAGTCCTAGTTTAGACCTGGTTTAGTCCTGATGTAGACCTGGTTTAGTCCTGGTTTAGTCCTAGTTTAGACCTGATGTAGTCCTGGTTTAGTCTTAGTTTAGACCTTGTTTAGATCTGATGTAGACCTGGTTTAGTCCTGGTTTAGTCCTGGTTTAGACCTGGTTAGTCTTAGTTTAGACCTGTTTAGTCCTTTAGACCTGGTTTAGACCTGGTTTAGTCCTGGTTTAGACCTGGTTTAGACCTGGTTTAGTCCTGGTTTAGTCCTGGTTTTAGTCCTGGTTTAGACCTGGTTTAGTCCTGGTTTAGTCCTGGTTTAGTCCTGGTTTAGTCTGGTTTAGTCTGGTTTAGTCCTGGTTTAGTCCTGGTTTAGTGGTTTAGTCCTGGTTTAGTCTGGTTTAGTCCTGGTTTAGTCCTGTTTAGACCTGGTTTAGTCCTGGTTTAGACCTGGTTTAGTCCTGGTTTAGACCTGGTTTAGACCTGGTTTAGTCCTGGTTTAGTCCTGGTTTAGAGTCCTGGTTTAGTCCTGTTTAGTCCTGGTTTAGTCCTGGTTTAGTCCTGGTTTAGTCCTGTTTAGTCCTGGTTTAGTCTGGTTTAGTAGTCCTGTTTAGTCCTGGTTTAGTCCTGGTTTAGTCCTGTTTTAGACCTGGTTTAGTCCTGGTTTAGTCCTGGTTTAGTCCTGGTTTAGTCCTGGTTTAAGTCCTGGTTTAGTCCTGGTTTAGTCCTGGTTTAGTCCTGGTTTAGTCTGGTTTAGTCCTGGTTTAGTCCTGGTTTAGTCCTGGTTTAGTCCTGGTTTAGTCCTGGTTTAGTCCTGGTTTAGTCCTGGTTTAGTCCTGGTTTAGACCTGGTTTAGACCTGGTTTAGTTTAGTCCTGGTTTAGTCCTGGTTTAGTCCTGGTTTAGTCTGGTTTGGTTTAGTCCTGGTTTCCTGGTTTAGTCCTTTAGTCCTGGTTTAGTCCTGTTTAGTCCTGTTTAGTCTGGTTTAGTCCTGGTTTAGTCTGGTTTAGTCTGGTTTAGTCTGGTTTAGTTTGGTTTAGTCTGGTTTAGTCTGGTTTAGTCCTGGTTTAGTCCTGGTTTAGTTTCTGGTTTAGTCTGGTTTAGTCCTGGTTTAGTCCTGGTTTAGTCCTGGTTTAGTCCTGGTTTAGTCCTGGTTTAGTCCTGGTTTAGTCCTGGTTTAGTCCTGGTTTAGTCCTGTTTAGTCCTGGTTTAGTCCTGGTTTAGTTCTGGTTTAGTCTGGTTTAGTCCTGGTTTAGTCTTGGTTTAGTCCTGGTTTAGTCCTGGTTTAGTTCTGGTTTAGTCCTGGTTTAGTCCTGGTTTAGTTTAGTCCTGGTTTAGTCCTGGTTTAGTCCTGGTTTAGTCCTGGTTTAGTCCTGGTTTAGTCCTGGTTTAGACCTGGTTTTAGTCCTGGTTTAGTCCTGGTTTAGTCCTGGTTTAGTCCTGGTTTTAGTCCTGGTTTAGTCCTGGTTTAGTCCTGGTTTAGTCCTGGTTTAGTTCTGTCTGTGATTCTAAAAGTTTTTGTTAAATTTCTTCTTGTGTAAAGTTCAAATAAAACACAAACTTTTTAATCATTAAAACAGTGAAAATGTCAAATGTGTCGCATAAACGAGTTTCCTTCATCTGAACAAACAACAAAACTGTAACAAAATAATTTAATAAAATAAACCAAAAAATACTCTTGGTGAAATATCGATACAACAGCCCACGATATCGATACTGTACTTGATACTGTACTGTAATTTATACATTAAATGATATAATATATTGATATTCTGATATTTTTACACACCCACATATAAATACTTTAATTTTAAGCTTCAAGAAAAACATTTTATATAAAAATCATAATTTAAAACCAGATACAAAAAATACAATAAAAAAAAAAAATTATAATAATACAAAAAATATCTTTAAAAAATAATGATCGCTATAATAATAACAATGATGATATTGTTATTACCCCAATCATGCTTAAAAAAAAATAATGTAAGACAATAACAATATGTATTTAAATTAAAATGAATTAAATGAAGAACATTTTACTCAAGCAAAAACATATTTCTGCAGAATAAAGGAGGAAACTCGGTATTTATATAAATAAATGTAGATAAAACATGATGTGAACGATGAATTTAAAGATAAATAAATACAAGTGCTTTATTCTTTCCCTCCCACTCTGTCCTGGTTCTGTTGGAGCCACAGCCGCCCTGGGACAGACTGACAGAAGTGAAGCTCCAACCTGCACCATCGGCCCAGACGAACATGTCATATTTACAAATACTGTGGCAAAGGTAGAACCAGTTTAGTCCTGGTTTAGACCCGGTTTAGACCTGGTTTAGACCCGGTTTAGACCTGGTTTAGACCCGGTTTAGACCCGGTTTAGACCTGGTTTAGACCTGGTTTGGAGTCAGTTGCTTAGAATTATGAGTAAAGTTTTAGTATCATGACCATGTAAGAACATATTCAGCCAATTGAGAACCAAAAGATCTAAACCAGGTCCAAACCAGGTCTAAACCAGGTCTAAACCAGGTCTAAACCAGGTCTAAACCAGGTCTAAACCAGGACTAAACCAGGAAACCAGGACTAAACCGGGTCTAATGTAAAGTCCAGCCTAAACCAGACCTAAACCAGGTCTAAACCGGGTCCAAACAAGGTCCAAACCGGGTCTAAACTGGGTCCAAACCAGATCTAAACTGGGTCTAAACCGGGTCTAAACTGGGTCCAAACCAAGTCCAAACTGGGTCCGAACCAGGTCTAAACCAGGTCTAAACCAGGTCCATGTGCTCTTGTTCTTGTTCAGATCTAAACACATTCTGGAAAGGTTCTGTTTTGTCGACTTTTTTAGTCCCGATACTTGTGAAAAATGAGGATCTAGTTTCGATTCTAGTTTCCGTATCGATCTGTTTTTCGATACTTTTCACATCCTGAGCCTTTGTTGAGTCTGACTTGTTCCGTTTTTTCTGGCTTTGCAGAAAATGCCCAAAAAGCTGTTCAACCCCCTGTGGCTGCACTTCACCGAGCCGGTCCCGGGCCGGGGGAAGTGCGCCCACTGCGACCAGACGGTGAGCATGGGCGCCACCGCGGGCCGCAACAAGAACACCACCAACCTCTGGAAGCACCTGGAAAACCACCATTCCGAAGTGTTCCGAGAGGCCAAGAGGAGCAAGGAGGAGCTGACCCGGGCCGCCGACGCCTCCACCACGCAGAACATCATCGCCCAGATCGTGCCCAAAGAGCCGCGGTCCGACAAGTGGAAGGACACGGAGCTCAAGTCCAAAAAAATCGATAAACTGATCGCGGAGATGTGCGCGACGGACGACCAGCCGTTCGCCGTGGTGTCCGGGCGCGGGTTCAAGCGGCTCGTCGCGGCGCTGGAACCGAAATACACCGTGAAGAGCGAGAAGTTCTACCGCTCCGATCTCCTGGAGAACCTGTACAAGAAGGTCCAGAGCTGCATCCGCGCGCTGATTTCGCCGAAAGGAGCGAAAGAGCCGTTCCTGTCGTTCACCGCCGACAGCTCGCCGGGGGGGGCGGAGTCGATGATGAGCCTGACGTGCCACTTCATCGACGAGAAGTGGGAGCGCAGACGGGTCGTTCTGCACGTCAAAGCGATGACGGACGCCAGCACCGTCAGCTACATCCACCAGTTCTTCCTCCCGCTGCTGAAATACTGGAGCATCAACCAGACGAGGGTGTTCCTGGTGCTGCGGGACTGCGGCGCGGACGTTTCGGAGGAGCAGAGGTTGGTGGAGGTGCCGGGGCTGAGCTGCGCGGCGCACTGCCTGCAGAACGTGATCGAGGAAGGGATCAACAGCCAGCAGGACGTCAAAGAAGTCATCGCCAAAATCAGAGCGTGCGCCAGGCATTTTCAGGACTCGATACTGGCGAAGCAGCGGCTCAAGGTGATCCAAATCGAGCTCAACGTCCCGCAGAACGCATGGTGCTGGACGACGCGGCGAGGTGGATTTCGACGCTGCAGATGCTGAGGCGCGCGCAGGAGCAGAAGAGGGCGCTCACCAGTTACGCGCAGAAGTACGGGCACTTCGCGACGGCGACGAACGAGGAGTGGGAGCTGATGAGGAGCGTGGTGGAGACGCTGTCGCCGTTCGAGGAGGTGGCGCGGGAGATCTGCACCAGCGCGTCGTCCTTGTCCTGCGTCATCCCGAGCGTCTCCGTCCTCAAGATGATCCTGCAGGCGGAGTGCGCGGCCACCAGGGGCACCGCCACCCTGCGCCAGACCATGCTGCGCGGTCTGGAGCGCAGGTACGCGCCGCTGTTTTAACGATACTCTGCGGCGGCGTCATGCTGGGGGTGTTCTACATGTGTGACTACGGTGGAATGTTAATCAGTTACCGTGGTGATACGACAAACACAGACAAACACGTTCTTAAATAATCTGAAAACTAAAACAAAAATGTGAAAAAGTGATTTAAAAAGCACATTTTCACAATCCGTGTGTCATTCGTTTATTTGTTTTTCAAAATAAAACCAAAAATAAGAAAACAGGAAAAAAAACATTTTCTTATATGTTTCTTAAAAACATATTTTCTTCATTAATCAGTCCCAGTCTGGTCCCAGTCTCAGTCCTGGTCTGGTCCTGGTCTCAGTCCGGTCTCAGTCCTGGTTTGGTCCGGTCTCAGTCCTGGTCTGGTCTTGGTCACAGTCCTTGGTATGGCCCTGGTCTGGTCCCCGTCTTAATCACGCTCTGGTCTCAGTCCTGGTCCTGGTCCCGAACTCAGTCCTGGTCCTGGTCCTGGTGTAAGTCCTGGTCTCAGTCCTGGTCTTAGTCCTGATCTGGTTCAGGTCTGGTCCTGGCTGGTTCAGTCCTGGTTCAGTCTGGTTAGTCCTGGTTTAGTCCTGGTTCAGGTCTTTATCCGTTTTTTCTATTTTTCATTTAAACACAAAATAAATCGAAAACTGAAAAAAATGAATCATTATTTGTTTTTTCATTTTGGTTTTGGAGACTTTTTCTTATTTTTGGTTTTATTTTGAAAAACAAATGAAAGAATGACACACTGTTCATAGTCCTGTTTAGGAGTTTAATTTTCAACAAAAAAGTGAGAGTCTCTTTACACGAGAAACGCTTGTGGTAAAAACGACAAAATATTTTATCAGAAGTGTTTTTCGTTTAGACGGTGACGGTGTTTTTGGGGTTTAAAAACACAAAAATCTGAAACCACCTCCAGAGTGGAAAAGTTGAACAGGCTCCACTGTAGAGTTTCTGTCTCCACTGCCCAAGACACAAAACTCTGGTCACATCTGCTCAGGTCGTGTACGAGTTTACATCACGTACATCACCACCGAGCGTCAGCACATAGAAACCTGACATACACACAATCGACTTCCACACACTTCTGCATCACCATTTTCAGATTTCCAAATTTCTAAACGTGGAATAAAAAGTGAAGATGTGACGCCACTTTTGCATTTTCTGTTCAAACCCTCATCATGTAAACGGAGCCGGACTCATCGTCCAACCCGAAAACTCAAATGTCCTGACTGTAGTTGATCGTAAAGACGTCGATACAGACACCCAGACTTTGACCTAAAAGTCACATTTTTAACAAATATGCACAAAAATGCTAAAATAAATCCAGAGACAGAGACACACTTCTATTTCAGACACATTTACAGAGAGAATCAGGAGGAAAAAAAAGTGGTTTTGGTGTTTTTGTGGCTCTTTAAACTCTTCCTTCTTTTCTTTCATTATTTATTTTCTTATTTTCATTATTTATTTTCATGATTTATTTATTATTTATTTTCATGATTATTTATTATTTTTATTTATTTTCATTATTATTTATTTTCTTTATTATTTATTTTCATGATTATTATTTATTTTCATTATTATTTTATTATTTTATTTTCTTTATTATTTATTTTCTTATTATTTATTTTCATTTTATTATTATTTATTTTCATTATTTATTTTTATTATTTATTTTCATTATTTATTTTCATTATTATTTATTTTCTTTTATTTTTATTATTATTATTATTTTATTTTCTTATTTATTTATTTTTTATTATTATTTTTTTCATTTTATTTTATTATTATTTATTTTCTTTTTATTATTTTATTTTCATTTTTTATTATTTATTTTCTTATTATTATTTTATTTATGATTATTTTATTTCTTCTTTATTTTATTTATTTTCTTTATTATTATTTCTTTTTCATTTTATTTATTTTCTTTTCATGATTATTTATTTTCTTTCATGATTATTTATTTTCTTCATGATTATTTATTTTCTTTTTATTATTATTTTTCTTTTCTTTTCATGATTATTTTCATGATTATTTCTTTTCATGATTATTTCTTTCTGTTTTTGGAGGTTTGCCAAACTGGAGGAGAGGAAGATTCTGGTGCTGGCGACGCTCCTCGACCCCAGATACAAATGCAACGTCCTGTCGGGAGACGCGCTCAACAACGCCCCCAAGTGGCTGAGCGAGGAGCACGCGGCGTGTTCGGCCCTGAAGGAGGAAGAGGGGGAGGGCGCCGGAGAGGAGGCGGGGACTAAACAGGTACAGGAAGTCTGACGAATCCATGTGTCAGTCGTTCATTCGATTTTCAATATAAAACCAAAAATAAGAAAATGAAAAAATAACAGTTTTCTTCATTATTTGTCTCCAAAACCAAAACAAAAAACAGATAACGACCGTTTCCTGTTTACGTGACTTCAGTGACTGTGATGTCGGACTGAACCAGGACTGATCCAGGTCCAGGACCAGACCAGGACCAGACCGGGACCAGAGTGGACTCTGAGCTTTGACTCCAAGCCTCTGCGGGGTCCGAGCCTCAGCTTCGAGCTCCGGCCCTGCCGTGGGCTCTGAGCCTCCGGTCTGGTCCAGGTCTCAGTCCTGGTCTCAGTCCCAGTCTGGTCCCGGTCTCAGTCCTGGTCTCAGTCCTGGTCTCAGTCCCAGTCTGGTCCCGGTCTCAGTCCTGGTCTCAGTCCCGATCTCAGTCCCGGTCTCAGTCCCGGTCTGGTCCAGGTCTGATCCCAGTCTAATCTTGGTCTCAATCCCAGTCTTAGTCCCAGTCTGGTCCGGTCTCAGTCCTGGTCTCAGTCCTGGTCTCAGTCTCGGTCTGGTCCAGGTCTGATCCCAGTCTAATCTTGGTCTCAGTCCTGGTCTCAGTTCTGTCTCAGTCCCAGTCTGGTCCCGGTCTCAGTCCTGGTCTCAGTCCTGATCTCAGTCCCAGTTTGGTCCCACTTCCTGGGTTTTTGCGAACCGTTGAGTGTATTCTGATTCCTGACTTAGTCGCTGGAGAGAAATGAAATTGAGCGGAGACACTAGGTGGCGCCAGACTGACTGAGATCTGACAAAAAGACTGAAATCTGCCCTAACAAACAAATACAAGAATCACATTTCAGAGCAAGTTTGTCAGATCTAAACGACAGGTTCTTCAGAAATGGTGTGTTGTTGTTTTGTGATTATTCTTGTTTGTGTTTTGTGATTATTCTTGTTTGTGTTTTGTGATTATTCTTGTGTGTGTTTTGTGATTATTCTTGTTTGTGTTTTGTGATTATTCTTGTTTGTGTTTTGTGATTATTCTTGTTTTGTGTTTTGTGATTATTCTTGTTTTGTGTGTTTTGTGATTATTCTTGTTTGTGTTTTTGTGATTATTCTTGTTTGTGTTTTTGTGATGATTATTCTGTGTTTGTGTTTTGTGTTTTGTGATTATTCTTGTTTGTGTTTTGTGATTATTCTTGTTTGTGTTTTGTGATTATTCTTGTTTGTGTTTTGTGATTATTCTTGTTTGTGTTTTGTGATTATTCTTGTTTGTGTTTTGTGATTATTCTTGTTTGTGTTTTGTGATTATTCTTGTTTGTGTTTTGTGATTATTCTTGTGTGTTTTGTGATTATTCTGTGATTTGTGTTTTGTGTGTGTTTTGTGATTATTCTTGTTTGTGTTTTGTGATTATTCTTGTTTGTGTTTTGTGATTATTCTTGTGTGTGTTTTGTGATTATTCTTGTTTGTGTTTTGTGATTAGGGTGTTTTGTGATTATTCTTGTGTGTGTTTTGTGATTATTCTTGTTGTGTGTTTTGTGATTATTCTTGTTTGTGTTTTGTGATTATGTTTTTGTTGTGTGTTTCGTGATTATTCTTGTGTGTGTTTTGTGATTATTCTTGTTTGTGTTTTGTGATTATTCTTTGTGTTTTGTGTTTGTTGTGTTTTGTGATTATTCTTGTTTGTGTTTTTGTGATTATTCTTGTTTGTGTGTTTTGTGATTATTTTTGTTGTGTTTTTGTGATTATTCTTGTTTGTGTTTTGTGATTATTCTTGTTTTGTGTTTTGTGATTATTCTTGTGTGTTTTTGTGATTATTCTTGTGTGTGTTTTGTGATTATTCTTGTGTGTGTTTTGTGATTATTCTTGTTTGTGTTTTGTGATTATTCGTGTTTTGTGTGTGTTTTGTGATTATTCTTGTTTGTGTTTTGTGATTATTCTTGTTTGTGTTTTGTGATTATTCTTGTTTGTGTTTTGTGATTATTCTTGTTTGTGTTTTGTGATTATTCTTGTGTGTTTGTGATTATTCTTGTGTGTGTTTTGTGATTATTCTTGTTTGTGTTTTGTGAATTATTTTTGTGTGTGTTTTGTGATTATTCTTGTGTGTGTTTTGTGATTATTCTTGTGTGTGTTTTGTGATTATTCTGTGTGTGTTTGTTGATTATTCTTGTGTGTGTGTTTTGTGATTATTCTTGTGTGTGTTTTGTGATTATTCTTGTTGTGTGTTTTGTGATTATTCTTGTGTGTTTGTGTTTTGTGTTTTTGATTATTCTTGTTTGTGTTTTGTGATTATTCTTGTGTGTGTTTTGTGATTATTCTTGTGTGTGTTTTGTGATTATTCTTGTTTGTGTGTGTTTTGTGATTATTCTTGTGTGTGTTTTGTGATTCTTCTTGTTTGTGTTTTGTGATTATTCTTGTTTGTGTTTTGTGATTATTCTTGTTTGTGTTTTGTGATTATTCTTGTTTGTGTTTTGTGATTATTCTTGTGTGTGTTTTGTGATTATTCTTGTTTGTGTTTTGTGATTATTCTTGTTTTGTGTTTTGTGATTATATTATTCTTGTGTGTTTTGTGATTATTCTTGTGTGTGTTTTGTGATTATTCTGTGTGTGTGTTTTGTGATTCTTGTTTGTGTTTTGTGATTATTCTGTGTTTTGTGTTTGTGTGTTTTGTGATTATTCTTGTTTGTGTTTTGTGATTATTCTGTGTTTTGTGTTTTGTGATTATTCTTGTTTGTGTTTTGTGATTATTCTTGTTTGTGTTTTGTGATTATTCTTGTTTGTGTTTTGTGATTATTTTGTTTGTGTTTTGTGATTATTCTTCTTGTTTTTGTGATTATTTTTTGTGTGTGTTTGTGATTATTCTTGTGTGTGTTTTGTGATTATTCTTGTGTGTGTTTTGTGATTATTCTTGTGTGTGTTTTGTGATTATTCTTGTGTGTGTTTTGTGATTATTCTTGTGTGTGTTTTGTGATTATTCTTGTGTGTGTTTTGTGATTATTCTTGTGTGTGTTTTGTGATTATTCTTGTGTGTGTTTTGTGATTATTCTTGTGTGTGTTTTGTGATTATTCTTGTTTGTGTTTTGTGATTATTCTTGTGTGTGTTTTGTGATTATTCTTGTGTGTGTTTTGTGATTATTCTTGTTTGTGTTTTGTGATTATTCTTGTTTGTGTTTTGTGATTATTCTGTGTTTTGTGATTATTCTTGTTTGTGTTTTGTGATTATTCTTGTTTGTGTTTTGTGATTATTCTTGTGTGTGTTTTGTGATTATTCTTGTGTGTTTTGTGATTATTCTTGTGTGTGTTTTGTGATTATTCTTGTGTGTTTCGTGCAGGTGTGTAAGCAGGAGGAGGAGGAGGTCCGGCCCGGTGGAGCAGGTCTGGTGGAGCAGATCTTTGCGAGTCTCTTGGGTCAAGCTCCTCAGGAACACAGGAGCCCAGAACTGTCAGGACAACTGGAGCAGTACCTGAACGAACCGCTCATAGACAGGTACTAAACCAGGACTAAACCAGGACTAAACCAGGACTAACCAGGACTAAACCAGGACTGAACCAGGACTGAACCAGGACTAAACCAGGACTAAACCAGGACTGAAACCAGGACTAAACCAGGACTGAACCAGGACTGAACCAGGACTGAACCAGGACTAAACCAGGACTGAAACCAGGACTGAACCAGGACTAAACCAGGAACTGAAACCAGGACTAAACCAGGACTAAAACCAGGACTGAACCAGGACTGAACCAGGACTAAACCAGGACTAAACCAGGACTAAACCAGGACTAAACCAGGACTAAACCAGGACTGAACCAGGACTGAACCAGGACTGAACCAGGACTAAACCAGGACTGAACCAGGACTGAACCAGGACTAAACCAGGACTAAACCAGGACTAAACCAGGACTAAACCAGGAACCAGGACTGAACCAGGACTGAACCAGGACTGAACCAGGAACCAGACTGAACCAGGACTGAACCAGGACTGAACCAGGACTAAACCAGGACTAAACCAGGACTAAACCAGGACTGAACCAGGACTAAACCAGGAACCAGGACTACAGGACTGAACCAGGACTGAACCAGGACTAAACCAGGACTAAACCAGGACTAAACCAGGACTGAACCAGGACTAAACCAGGACTAAACCAGGACTAAACCAGGACTAAAGCAGGACTGAACCAGGACTAAACCAGGACCTAATTTTATAAAATATTCTAATTAGAGCCCGACCGATATATCGGTTGGCCAATATTATCGGCCGATATGGGCACCTGGAGACATATTACTCTTGTGTGTTTGTTTACACTCGCAGACTCAGATCCAAACACTGAGATTATTTTCTTTTTACGGACAATCGGTTTGAGTCTGGATTAAAAGGACATTTATTAGTTCAGACTTGTGATGTGGGAGGAGCCTGTGTGATGTGGGAGGAGCCTGTGTGATGTGGGAGGAGCCTGTGTGACGCTGAGTGTTGGAATATGTCGACTTTGAAGCTGGTTTTGGTTCATTGTAATTGGTTATTTATTAGCTGCTGTAGCTTCAACACATAAACAGTCTGTTTTCTATTGGTCTGTTGTAAAGTGTTTTATTATATTGTTCGTATATTTGATACTGGAGCTGCACTGATGTAAATGAGCTGTGAACAGACGTGTGAATTATGACATTTGCACATATAATTGATCACCGCGGCGCACAGCATTTACAGCTAAAGGCTAATCGCGGTTGTTTCTTTACTCTGTAGTCGTGACGGTCGGTCTTGAACGAAGCGGCTCTTAGATTCGGCTCTTTGAAGTGAACAACAGGAGCCTGATCCTTATTGGGAGCCGTGTTTTCTCTTTCTCTCACTTTTTTTCTCTTTACGCCGCGTGCAGACTCGTGGGAGTTTGACAGCGGCAGCGGCTGAAAACGAAACTTTCAAAAATCTGCGTGTGCATAGGGTAAAAAAACTTGCATATTTGGATGTAGTTCAGCATAAAATAAATAAACCAGGACTAATCTTGGGCTCGAGTGAAGGAGAGAGATAAAGACCGAGTCCCGACACTCAGTCCTGGTTCAGTTCTGGTTTAGTCCTGTTTTACACATGGATTAGTCTTGTTTTAGTCCTTTTTCAGTCCTGGTTCAGTTCTGGTTTAGTCCTGCTTGCAACAAAACAATCTGAAGAGCCGCTTGGGAGCCAAAAGAGCCAGCCGCTTTTAGTGAGTCAAGCCAAAAGAGCCGGTTCTCTAAAAAGAACTGGAATCCCCATCACTAGTGTCTAGAATGTGATGCAAAAATGTCATTAGTCCAACTGTCTGTAAATATGACGTAAAGAGGCAGAAGAACAATAAATGTTTCCTAAATAAACCCAATTTAAAATCCACCAGAGCCAAACCTAAGCTTTTTAAACAAGTCGAGATTTAGAGTGAATTTTTACATCACTAAATATATCGGTGATTATATCGGCAGCTCCAACTCCAATTTTATCGGTTTCATATCGGCCACAACAAAATCCATATCGGTCGGGCTCTAATTCTAATAACAAATGTGTCTTTAAGTGTGTAACTGTATGAATGAGATAAAGAGTTTGCTGTTTTTGTTTTTTCGCGGTGACGTGTCTGTGCAGGAAGTTCGGCGACCCCCTGGGCTGGTGGCGGGCGAACACTCTGAGGTTTGACCTTTTGGCCCCTCTGGCTCGCCGTCTGCTGTCCGCTCCCCCGGCGGCGCTCGCGGGAGACGGCGGCTCCGGCCGAGCGGAGACGACGCTCCGAGCCGGAGACGAGAACGCCGAAAAACTCCACTTCCTCAAACACAACCTGCCGCTCCTCAGATGGGAATACTGAACTGAAACGCGGGGCCGGACGTGTCAGATGCCCTCCCGCGATAGACTGATTTCACAACGTTCACAAGGGCCTCGCTTTAGGTTTGAGGAACTTCAGGTTAATGTTTTTCTGTGTAAATGTTTGTCGTTTTCTCCAGCAGCTTCATAAATCTGCCCCATCACCAAATCTTCAACCAACAAGAATTTATCCACAACATCAAGAGAAGAAAGACCAAAACTAACGTCGGCGACACTGTGATTTTTCACTCGTGCGACTGAGTTTTGTCTTAATCTTGTGTCGTGCTTCGTGTTGTAAACATGGAGCAACGAGAACCGATGAAAACTTCACGATTATCAAACTGCTGAAGTGGTTCGGCGTGAGAATCGTGAGCTGTGAACTTTTAAACCCTGAGATTTAGTCGAACAGTTTGAGCTGGAGCTGAGTGAAAACATCGAAAACATCACACAGCGGACGTCCGACGTTAAAGGAGAACAACGACCGCGCGTTAGAGACACACGGAACAAAATATTAACGTTATGATTCTACAGATGTCGCACAAATCTCTCGACATCATGAAAGCAATTTTTTAATTTTAATTGTAGAATCAGTCTGAGTGAACAAGTTCCTTCTGTTTTATTCATGACCGTAAGATAGATAAATACTTTAAATTCAGGTACTGCAGTCGTATCTCAGGTGCAACTTTGAGAAAAACACTAAAGCGTAACATGACGAGAGGAGAAAAAAAAGGAAACGACCCCCAGACCATGTTCCTGTGGGAGCATAATGTGAGACCAGGACAGAAAACTCGTGACATAAGCTCATGATCAAACACAGGACGACATGAAAACTCGACCTGACGCAGGGACGGGAGTCACAGGCAAAACACAACACAATAGACGAGTTTGAGCTGACGTCATTGTTATTAAAAGTCCGCGTTGCTGCTGGGAAATATTTTGGTCGGAGGCAAGAAACACGGTAGCGTCAAACACAGTGTGTAACCTCGTGTATTTATCCTGATAATGGTAAATTCCTGCTGCATTATCAGACGCACAAATAGAAACACGGAAGAAGGAAAATGTCTTTTTCATATTCTGAGTGAAAAGAACCACTAACGGTGAATTAAACGACTTTCAAACATCCGCAGAGCAAACGTAGAAGATCCTAACAAACCGTGGACTCAACAAGTTCAACAACACATCCAGACTCTTGGAGGTTTTCATCTTTTCTGCTGTGAATGGCCCAGGAGTTTCCACCAAGTCATTGTGGATGTCGCCCAAGTGAATATTTGTCCAGGGAGTTGGAGATTCTGACCAGAAGTTTTGTTTTGTCCACCTTTTGTCGGGGTTGAAAAGGGTGATTTGTCGTCCGTCGATGTTTATGACCAATTTCTGGTCAAATGGTCTTGGGTCCTCTGCCGTTAGAGTGGATAAATAACCTGGATCAATACCCTTTACGTGCTTTCTCGCTCCGTCCGTCATGTTGAATTAGTGTTTCTTGCCGCCGACCAAAATAATTCCCAGCATGAAACGCACGCTTTTGTCAACAATGAAACTCGCCCATGCAAAAACACAACACAACAGTGAAGGCGTGGGGGGGGGGCGGGGGGGGTGGGGGGGCCTGGAGAGCCACAATCTCAGCTGCCGTGGAGACGACCTTGATCGGGTCCCAGACGGAGTCAACATCTGCAGGTGTCCGTCCCAGTGAAGGAAAGGAATGCAAGAGATAACAGGAGTTTAGTTTCTTGTGTGACTAATGTGTGCTCTTTGTTCTCCTTTAAGTTTTGGTCTTTGTTCTCTTGATGTTGTGGATAAATTCTTGTTGGTTGAAGATTTGGTGATGGGGCAGAATTATGAAGCTGCTGGAGAATACGACACACATTTACACACACATTTACACACACATTTACACACACATTTACCGTATTTTCCGGGCTATTAGTCGCGCTCTTAAGCCTCCAACACCATCAAAAAACGACCGCGGGCCACAATCCAGAGCCCCCCATATACGAATCCACTCGGGTGTCTCAGTACGACTTCAGTAAACTACAAAGCCGCAAACACACACGGAGCAGACAGCGACCGCACAGCGACACACACCCACAGACACACTCATCACTCCACGCCGACGAGGAACGGAACGGAGGAACGAACCGAAAAAGCGAGCGCGACGTCCCGCTTCTAGACACGACTGAACAACTGAGTCACTGCGAACACGCCGACAATCCGTTAGTCCCAGACACACCCTCCCTACACGACAGTTTTAAAATGTAAGAAATGACCGATAACGACGGACAAAACTGAAATTTCGTTTACCGAGATTAGAATTTCTGTCGAGATGAACGGAGAACTGTGCTTAAAGACGGGGTATTTTTGGAGCTTTCTCTTTCCCATGTTTTAACGTTCCATCGTCTAATAAAAAAACACGTCTGAAGAGGTTTTAGACACATCCACGCGTGTTTGAGTAATCTAGCGATCTCTCTGTACGAGATTTCTCCATAAATACGACAATAAACACGAAGATTCTCCATAAATAACACAAAAACATGACAGAAAACCGCAGTAGTTTCGTTAGAGGGAGACGCGCGGTGATTGTGCTGTGATGGCGCTCTGAAGGGGGAGCGACTTAGCAGCAAAACCGAAACTTATAAAACGTGTTAATCTGTTGTTGCGGGTGATTACAGCCTTTACAAAACAATAAAAAGAGCTAAAAATGTGAGGAACGGAACGGAGGAACGAACCGAAAAAAGCGACGAGCGCGACGAGCCGCTTCTAGACACGACTGAACAACTGAGTCACTGAACATGACGACAATCCAGACACACCCTCCAAAACCAAACAAAACCACTCACCCATCACACTGTTGGGTTTCCTTTAAAGTCCCACGCGGTTTATTTGTGAAAAAAGTTTGAAAATAGACCATTTAACGACGATTTATAATCCAGAGCGACTAATAACCCGGAAAATACTCATTTACACGCACACATTTTGCCGTGGAAAACCATAAAGTGGAAGTTCCTCAAACCTACAGCGCGACACTTGAGCCGATGTGAAAAATGTGGAAACGTCTCTAGTTACTGTGCAGATGTGGTGCGTCAGATGCCCTCCCAGATGCTGTGCCGTGTCGTAGTTTTGGGCGGTGATACAGTATTACAGTTTCCCGCGGTATCGAAGTTTCATCAACGTCATTAAAAAAAACCTGCAGCACATAAGGACCTGATAGAATATTATAATTTATTTGTTTGTTCAGCACAAATGAGTGTGTGGTTGTATTTTCAGTTCAATTCTTTCACGATTTAAAACTAAAAGTGTTTATAATGTTTCTTTTAACTGTGTGGGGAGACGACGTTAGTTAGTTTTGTTCCGTTGTCACGTGACGCTCATAAGAGACCGAGACAAGACGACAAGTCCAACTGCAAGAGAGTTGGTCCCAAAAAATAAAAAGAAATACTAGTTCTTCTACAGTTTGCAGCATTTTGGCTTCAGGTGCACATTTGTTTACGTTTTACAGAAAATAAACTTAAAACCACATGACTCACTTGTTTCTTTTCTCATTTTTTTTCTTTTCTTTTCATTTTTTTTCATTTTTCATTTCAATTTCACTTCATTTTCATTTAATTTTTTCATTTATGTCTTTTTTTTTCTTTTTTTCATTACATTTTTTCCCATTTTTTATTTTTTAATTTTTCATTTCATTTTTTTCATTTTAATTAATTTTTTCATTTCATTTTTTCATTTCATTTTTTTCATTTATTATTATTTTTTTTTCATTTTCACTTCATTTTTCATTTCATTTTTTCATTTTTATTCTTTTTTTTTTTCATTTTCATTTTCACTTCATTTTCACCTGACCAGGACTAAAACAGGACTAAACCAGGTCTCAAATAGAACAAAGAGAGGACTAAAGCAAGTCTAAACCAGGACTAAACGAGGTGTAAAACAGGACTAAACCAAGTCTAAACCAGGTCTAAACCAGGACTAAACCAGGTCTAAACCAGGTCTAAACAAGGACTAAACCAGGTCTAAACCAGGACTAAACGAGGTGTAAAACAGGTCTAAACTGGGTCTAAGCCAAGTCTAAACCTGGACTAAAACAGGTCTAAACTAGGACTAAACCTGGTCTAAACCGGGTCTAAGCCAGATCTAAACCAGGACTGAACCAGGACTGAACCAGGACTAAACCAGGACTAAACCAGGACTGAACTAGGACTAAACCAGGACTAAACCCAGGACTAAACCAGGACTGAACCAGGACTGACTAAACCAGGACTGGACCAGGACTAAACCAGGACTAAACCAGGACTGAACCAGGACTAAACCAGGACTGAACCAGGACTAAACCAGGACTGAACCAGGACTGAACCAGGACTGAACCAGGACTAAACCAGGACTGAACCAGGACTAAACCAGGACTAAACCAGACTAAACCAGGACTAACCAGGTCTAAACCAGGACTAAACCAGGACTGAACCAGGACTAAACCAGGACTGAAACCAGGACTAAAACCAGGACTAAACCAGGACTAAACCAGGTCTAAACCAGGACTGAACCAGGACTAAACCAGGACTAAACCAGGACTAAACCAGGACTGAACCAGGACTGAACCAGGACTAAACCAGGTCTACAGTTGTGTTGTGTGTTTGTTTGTTCGTTCGTTCTTTTCACGTCGCGTCGTGTTGTTATAGATTTGACCTAAATCCTAAACCGTGACTCTAATCCAGTGGAAAATGTGAACGCGCTCCCAGTTCAACAAACAGTAAACACTTAAAGCTGCACTGTGTCACTTTTTTGGCTGTGGCTCCGTCTTTGCTCTGCCTGAAATGTTCCTCAGTGTGACTTTAAACGGCTCTACTTTACATTTATTCAATCACAGGTCGGTTTAAAAGCTCAAAAATCCCTCGATAGACAAACACTGTGACTGTGAGCGGGGTCGCCTCTCCGCAGACCTGACCTGGAGCTGCGTCTGCTTTGGTTTCCGTGGAGACAGAAAGGTTTAATGCCAGACTGTGGAACATTCCAGACAAAGGAATAACGTCTCCAACACAGGGGAAAGCGTCCGACGGAGCCTTCGAGCAGAAAGGTCACACTACAGAACCACATCTCCTCCTTCTGTGTTTCCGCGGGGTTTTAAACGGCGCAGCGTCTCGCCCCACGGCCACGCGGTCCTGGGTTTGAGTCTCAGGACACACGGGGTCTTGTACGTGAACTCTGACCTTTCTGGTTTCCTCCAAACACGTGTCAGATTGATCCTCACACGGTTTTATTAAATGTACAGTGATGATTGGGATAAATTGGACTAAAATCAGGACTAAACCAGGACTAAACCAGGACTAAACCAGGACTAAACCAGGTCTAAACCAGGTCTAAACTAAACCAGGACTAAAAAGACTAAAAACAGGACTAAACCAGGACTAAAACAGGACTAAAAAGGACTAAACCAGGACTAAAACAGGAAACCAACCAGGACTAAAACAGGACTAAACCAACCAGGACAAACAGGACTAAAACAGGACTAAACCAGGACTAAACCAGGACTAAAAAAACCAGGACTAAACCAGGACTAAACCAGGACTAAACCAGGACTAAACAGGACTAAAACCAGGACTAAAACCAGGACTAGGACTAAACCAGGACTAAACCAGGACTAAACCAGGTCTAAACAGGACTAAAACAGGACTAAACCAGGACTAAACAGGTCTAAACCAGGACTAAAAAAACAGGACTAAACCAGGACTAAACCAGGACTAACTAAACAGGACTAAACAGGACTAAACCAGGACTAAAAACAGGTCTAAACCAGGTCTAAAACCAGGACTAAACCAGGACTAAACCAGGTCTAAACCAGGACTAAACCAGGACAAAACAGGTCTAAACCAGGACTAAACCAGTCTAAACCAGGTCTAAACAGGACTAAAAAGGTCTAAAACCAGGACTAAACCAGGTCTAAACCAGGTCTAAACAGGTCTAAACAGGACTAAAAACAAAACCAGGTCTAAACCAGGTAAACCACTAAAAACCAGGTCTAAACCAGGTCTAAACCAGGTCTAAACCAGGACTAAACCAGGTCTAAAACCAGGACTAAACCAGGTCTAAACCAGGTCTAACCAGCAGGACTAAAACAGGTCTAAACCAGGACTAAAAAAAGCAGGACTAAACCAGGTCTAAACAGGTCTAAACCAGGTCTAAACCAGGTCTAAACCAGGACTAAAACAGGTCTAAAGCAGGACTTACGTTTGGTGCACGCTCGGGTTCGGTGAGACCAGGTCCATCCTTCACAGCACCGAGCTCCACACACGTTTGGTCTGAAATACATAAAAAAATATAATATTATAAAATATATAATTCTGATAAAGTCTCACAGTGATGTTCTTCATGGACACTTCACATTCACTCTGGACAAAGGGGTGAAGTGTGTTGCCCAAGGACACAACAACAGGACTCTGTTTGATGAAGGCTCCAACTACTGAGCCACTGTGAGGTTCATTTTCCACAAAGTCTGGGCCTTTGAGTCCAGGTTTAGTCCTGGTTTGAGACTTTGCTCTGAATCCAGTCCACTGGTCTTCTACTCTTGATTTGATCTGAGCTTTAGACCTGGTCCAGTTCTGGTTCAGGTCTGGTTCTGGTCCTGGTTCAGGTCTGGTTCAGGTCTGGTTCAGGTCTCAGGTCTGGTCTTTGGTCCTGGTTCAGGTCTGGTCTTTGGTTCTGGTTCAGGTCTGGTTCAGGTCTGGTTCAGGTCTGGTTCAGGTCTGGTTCAGGTCTGGTTCAGGTCTGGTTCAGGTCTGGTTCAGGTCTGGTTCAGGTCTGGTTCAGGTCTGGTCTTTGGTCCTGGTTCAGGTCTGGTTCAGGTCTGGTTCAGGTCTGGTCTTTGGTCCTGGTTCAGGTCTGGTTCAGGTCTGGTTCAGGTCTGGTCAGGTCTGGTTCAGGTCTGGTCAGGTCTGGTTCAGGTCTGGTTCAGGTCTGGTCAGGTCTGGTCTTGGTCTGGTTCAGGTCTGGTTCAGGTCTGGTTCATGGTTGGTCTCAGGTTCAGGTCTGGTTCAGGTCTGGTTCAGGTCTGGTTCAGGTCTGGTTCAGGTCTGGTCCTGGTCAGGTCTGGTTCAGGTCTGGTTCAGGTCTGGTTCAGGTCTTCAGGTCTCTGGTTGGTCTGGTTCAGGTCTGGTTCAGGTCTGGTTCAGGTCTGGTTCAGGTCTGGTCTTTGGTCCTGGTTCAGGTCTGGTCTGGTCAGGTCTGGTCTGGTTCAGGTCTGGTCCTGGTTCAGGTCTGGTTCAGGTCTGGTTCAGGTCTGGTTCAGGTCTGGTTCAGGTTCAGGTCTGGTCTGGTTCAGGTCTGGTTCAGGTCTGGTTCAGGTCTGGTTCAGGTCTGGTTCAGGTCTGGTCTTTGGTCCTCAGGTTGGTCCTGGTTCAGGTCTGGTTCAGGTCTGGTCTGGTCTGGTTCAGGTCTGGTTCAGGTCTGGTCTGGTCTGGTCAGGTTCTGGTTCAGGTTCTGGTTCAGGTCTGGTTCAGGTCTGGTCTTTGGTCCTGGTTGGTTCAGGTCTGGTTCAGGTCTGGTTCAGGTCTGGTTCAGGTCTGGTCTCTGGTCCTGGTTCAGGTCTGGTTCAGGTCTGGTTCAGGTCTGGTTCAGGTCTGGTCTCTGGTCCTGGTTCAGGTCTGGTCTTTGGTCCTGGTTCAGGTCTGGTTCAGGTCTGGTTCAGGTCTGGTTCAGGTCTGGTCAGGTCAGGTCTGGTTCAGGTCTGGTCTTTGGTCCTGGTTCAGGTCTGGTGGTTCAGGTCTGGTTCAGGTCTGGTCAGGTCTGGTTCAGGTCTGGTTCAGGTCTGGTTCAGGTCTGGTTCAGGTCTGGTTCAGGTCTGGTTCAGGTCTGGTCAGGTCTGGTTCAGGTCTGGTGGTTCAGGTCTGGTTCAGGTCTGGTGGTTCAGGTCTGGTCAGGTCTGGTTCAGGTCTCAGGTCTTCTGGTCTGGTTCAGGTCTGGTTCAGGTCTGGTCTGGTGGTCGTTCAGGTCTGGTTCCAGGTCTGGTTCAGGTCTGGTTCAGGTCTGGTTCAGGTCTGGTTCAGGTCTGGTTCAGGTCTGGTTCAGGTCTGGTTCAGGTCTGGTTCAGGTCTGGTTCAGGTCTGGTTCAGGTCTGGTTCAGGTCTGGTTCAGGTCTGGTTCAGGTCTGGTTCAGGTCTGGTTCAGGTCTGGTTCAGGTCTGGTTCAGGTCTGGTTCATGGTCTGGTCAGTCTGGTTCAGGTCTGGTTCAGGTCTGGTTCAGGTCTGGATCAGGTCTGGTTCAGGTCTGGTTCAGGTCTGGTTCAGGTCTGGTTCAGGTCTGGTTCAGGTCTGGTTCAGGTCTGGTTCAGGTCTGGTTCAGGTCTGGTTCAGGTCTGGTCTTGGTCTGGGGCTTTCCTCATTACTCACAGGGCTGTGGTCTCTTTGTGAGGAGCTCAGACTCTGAAGCTCCTCGGCTCCGTTCGATCAAACAAATGAAATAAAAGTCTCGTCCTTTTGTTCTGACGTTTAATCGTTTTATCGGCAGAAGTTTGAAAAACATGGA